CTTTGATTTCTTCTTCTGAAAACTGCCTGCTTATATCCTTTGGCCATTTTATTAATTGGGGAATGGCTCTTATTTTTTATAAATTTGACTCTGTGGTATACTCAGTATATATTTGAGAAATGAGTAGTTTCTCAGAGAAACTCAATGTTAAAAATTTTTATATTACTTCATTGTTTATGGCACCTTTTAGCAAAATGTAGTTTCCATGATTATCCCTTGTAATTATGCCTGCTTTTGCTTTTGCTTTGCCTGAGATCATGATTGCTACCCCTGCATATTTTTAGTTCAGTTGAAGCATATTGGATTCTGTTCCAGCCCTTTATTTTAACTCTGTGTGTTTCTATTTCAAGTGTATCTCTTGTAAACTGCATATTGTTAGATTCTGGCTTCTAATCTATCCTGCTATCTGCTTCCATTTTATGGGTGAGCTCCTCCCATTCATATTCACAATTATGATTACTATATATTTCCTTCCATCTCACTTTCTTCTGTTTCTTCTTCTCTCTCTTTTTATTCTATCCCTCCTTAAAAGTCTATTTTGCTTCTAACTGCTGTCTCCCTTAATCTGTCCTCACTTTTATCATCCCCCTCCCTTTCTCTTATCCCTTTTCCCTCCAATTCGCCTATTGAGTAATTTACATTTTTATATACAACAGAGTATGTGTATATGCATATACATATATACTTCCCTCTGCAAACAAATTCTGAAGTGAGGTTCAAGCATTGCCCAACCACCCCCATTTTCCTGTCCACTATAAAATCTGTTCCTTGTATGCCTCTTATGAGAAAAATTTCCCCATTCTACTTCTCCTTTCTCCATTTTCCCAGTGCATCCCTCTTTCTCACTCTTTCATTCCTTTTGGATAGCATCCAACATAATCAAGTGAAATCCATTCCCTCTGTTTATGTAGTCTCCTTTTAACTGCCCTAATCAGGTTCTTAGGAGTTACATGTATCACCTTCCCATATAGGAATTTAAACAGTTTAACTTAACTGAGACCCTTATGATTACTCTTTCATGTTTATGTTTTTGTGTGTCTCTTTGGTTTTGTGTTTGAATACCAAATTTTCTATTCAGCTCTGGTCTTTTCATCAGAAATTCTTAAAAGACCTCTACTTCATTAAATATTCATTTTTCCCCTGAAGGATTACAATCAATTTTTTTGGGGGGGTATGTTATTCTTGGTTGTAATCCTAGCTCCTTTTCCTTCTGGAATATTATATTTCAAGCCATCTGCTCTTTTAACATGAAACCACTAAATCTCATGTGATCTTGCCTCTGGCCCCACAATGTTTGAATTGTTTCTTCCTAGCTGCTTGAAATATTTTCTCTCTCACCTGGGAGCTCTGGAATTTGGCTACAATATTTTTCATTTTCATTTTGGGATCTCTTTCAGTAGGTAATCAGTGGATTATTTCCATCTTTATTTTACTCTCTGGATCTAAGATATCAGGGTACTTTTCCTTGATAATTTCTTGAAATATTATGTCTAGGCTCTTTCCTTTATGACTTTCTAGTAGTCTAATAATTCTTAAATTATCTCTCCTTGATCTATTTTCCAGGTCAGTTGTTTTTCTGATGAGATATTTCACATTTTCCTCTATTTTTTTTATTCTTTTGATTTTGTTTTATTGTTTCTTGATTTCTCATGGAGTCATTAGCTTCCACTTGCTCAATTCTAATTTTTAAGGAATTATTTATTTTAGTGAGATTTTGTACCTCCTTTTCCATTTGGCCTATTCTACTTTATTTTATTCTATTTATTTATTTATTTATTTTGCTTTTAGGCAATTGGGGTTAAGTGACTTGCCCAGGGTCACACAGCTAGTAAGTGTCAAGTGTTTGGTCTGAGGCTGGATTTGAACTCAGGTCCTCCTGACTTCAGGGCTGGTGCTCTATCCACTGCACCATCTAGCTGCCCCTAGGCCTATTCTATTTTATAAGGAGTTCTTTTCTTCTATAAAATTTTGTACCTGTTTTACCATTAGGCCAATATTTTGAGGTGTTATTTTCCTCAGTATTTTTGTGCTTCTTTTACCAGGCTGTTAGGACACAAGACAGGCTTCCTCCTTGGTATTATAAATTTCTCCTACCAATCTTAAGCTTTCCTAAGCGAAAAAATATCTTTTGCCAACCTTTTGTTGACTCTGCCACTCCAAAACTTGATCTGAGGCATTATCTTAAAATTGTTTGGAGGAGAATATTGAGAAAGTTCAACTGAGTTGCTTCTAATCTTCCATCTTGGCCATCAATCTGTTATTAACAGTAGAAGAGTCAACTAACTTCCTAGAGCATGTAGCCTTGATGAAATAGTCATCAAATCTGATGACTTTTAGTGATACATGAGAACACTAATACTGCCTGAAGGAATCTAGAAAGCATTGCTAAGAATGATGATTCCTGAGACAAGAAACTAGGAAGCAGAACACCCTGAGGTACATAGAGTAGGTGTTCTATTTGGTATTTGAACCCTTCACAACCCACGTCCAACTTACCTTTCTATCTTTGTTGCTCATTACTCCCCTTCATGCTTCCCTATAGTTCAGTTAAACTGGCCTTCTTGCTGTTCCTCAAACATGATATTCTGTCTTTCATCTCTGAGCCTTTGTTCAGACTGCCCCCATGCCTGGAATGCTTTCCTTCTGCCCTTTTACTTCTTAAAATCCCCAGTTTCCTTCAAAGCCCAGGTCAATTGTCATCTTCTATATGAAACTTTCCCTGATTCCCCTCCCCCAGATCCTAGGAAGCAGAAAGGTACAGCTGAGGGAAACATCGAAGGACCTGGGTAGAAGACTAGCTTCTACCAACAAATGTGCAACATTAGGTGTGTTACAATCTCTCTGAATTCAGTTTTCTTCTCTCTAAAGTGAATGGGATTAGATTAGTGAACCCCAAGGACCCTCCTAGCTCTAAAATTATGACCCTATAACTTTAGGGCACAGGTGGTGTTTTCATCACCACTACCTACTGAAGGCAAAGAAGAAAAAGGCAGATTTGGGAAATGAACAACTGATTACAAAGGTTGTGTCTGAGAATAGAATTTGGATCTCTAGACTACATCTTAAAATATTGAAATGATGGTCTTTTTTTGGCCAAAGATGGAACATATCTAAAAGAGACCATAAAATTTCATTTGCTTGGAGTCTTGTCAATATAAACAAAAGAGCTTTAAATAAGAGAGAGAGAAATAAAATGGTATTTACAAAGCTAGATTTTTTTAAGTAGCCATAGTAGAGAAAGAATAGCAGTTAGGATGCCCAGGTATCAACCAGATGTAAATTGAAGGAAGCAATCCACAAATCTATGGCCACAGAAGTTTTTACACAGATGCATAAAGTACAGGTGACCAGTAAAGGGAACTAGAAATTCTAATGCAAACAAGCAATGAGATCACAGATATAAGCATCTAGATGTTAGAATACAGGAAGTATCTTCAGAGAAATTGAAAGAGAACCTTGAAGAAAAATGAAGACAGCTGTCCCAAATAGTTTGTGTCTGAATAAATGTTCTCCACGGGTTCAGAAAAGGTAGAGTCATACCTGGTTAGGAAAGACTTAAAGAAAGTGATAATTGATCTGTGCCTTGAAAGATGGGGAGTATTTATTTCTGTTTAAATGAAATTAGTGGGGAAGTGGGAGAGGTATTCCAATTGTAGTGATTCTGTACAAACCATTTAAAAGATCTATCCACACTGTTAGTAAAATCCATAAATACATTGGCAGAAACGTTCTCTATTGCACATTCAGACCAGTGCTTGACACCCTGAGGTACACAGAGTAGGTGTTCTATTTGGTATTTGAAGCCCTTTACAATCTACATCCAACTTACCTTTCTATCTTTGTTGCTCATTACTCCCCTTCATGCTTCTCTATAGTTCAGTTAAACTGGCCTTGTTGCTATTCCTCAAACATGACAGCCTGTCTCTCATCTCTGAGCCTTTGTTCAGACTGTCCCCCACGCCTAGAATGCATTCCTTTTGCCCTTTTACTTCTTAAAATCCCCAGTTTCCTTCAAAGCCTAGGTCAATTGTCATCTTCTATATGAAACTTTCCCTGATTCCCCTCCCCCAGATCTTACTCTCTTCACTCTCTTTCCCATCCAAAATATATACATGCATTTATTTTGTATATGCCTATATAAGTGGGTGTGTTATTTAAACATAAATTTCTTAAGGGCAGAGACTATCTCAGTTTTGTCTATGCATCCTCTGTGACTAGAATAATACCTTGGACTTAGATTCTTAAAAATGCTTGGCTGGTTGATTGCTCAAGAAATGAAGGGAATCCCACCAGAACTCATTCAAAACATGTTAGGTTTTGAATACTTAGAGTGTGCCTGGCAACTCATGACAGGTCCATCTACCAGCTACCCCTGGTTTTGCCCCAGCCCCTTCTCAGCTCCACTCCAATTTTTCTCTCACCAAGTATATTACTGCCTATACTTGCTGGAGTCAAAGCACACCCTCCATGTTAAAAGAGAGAGATGTAGCCCAACTTGGTTATATGCAATCATAAGTTATAAGGTTTTACAGAGAGACTAGCCCCCCTCTAAGGGAGGCTTAATCTCCAGAGGCAACCAAGCAGAAGTATTTAAAGAATTTGTATTGACATAATCCATCTGCTTCACCTGAAATGTGTTTCTTCATCATTTCCTTCAATTAGGACCCTTGTCTTCCTTTCAAGCCTAAAGTTCAGGGTGCCCCCTCCTCTATGAAGCATTCCATAGTCTTTGGTCTAGTTTTTTCTCCCTCTTGAAATTATCGTGTATTTACATATCTGCCTGTATTTGATTTTTTTAAATCTTTGAGACTCCAGTGCTGAGCACAATGCCTTGCATGTGGTTGATGCTTAGTAAATGTTTGATGAATTGAAAAGGGGGTGGGGAGCTTTGAAGAAAAAAGAGAACAGCAGCCCAAATACTTTGTGTCTGAATAAATATTGTTGAATTGCATTTAATTCATTCCCCTTTGAGCTTAAGTCTTTATTATCGACACAGTACAGCATTGTGGAATTCTTTATTCACAAAGATCTCCAGAACAGATTTCCCCAAGAATGGGGAAGGTATTCTGCGCTTTCTGAATTAAACTGGTCAGAGTAATTTAGGACTCTCCAAAACAGTTGGCTTCAACCTCCAGGTAAGGTACTTGACTGTTAATGAAAAAGAAATTATTTCAGTAATGCATCATGACTTTACTTGTCCTCATGGCTCAGATCAGAGCAAAAAGCTGAATTTCAGGATGTACAGAAAATTGGTACTTGGAAAGCTAATATAATTATGAGCTTTATTACTATGAAGCAGCAGGCATAGCAAGCAGGAAAAAACAAGACCATACAAAAACACACTATATGGCAACAAAGATAGACAAGGATGTGGCCACATACAGGGCCAGGGTCACTCACATGAGGGGGATGTGTACTCTGGCAAAGTTCTTGTCAGGAGAAAAGTTCAGAATGGAGTCTGAGCAGGGAAGTTTTATACCTTAAAGATGGGATTGGTTGAGAACAAGTGATTGATGCTAAATATGGGAGGAGACATTCTTAATTAGACCCAGATATGGTGGGGATAGTCTTTGGGTTACTTAACCATACCGGACTCAGATGGAAGAGTTTTCTAATCAAGAAATCAAGTGAGAGTTGAAGTTGAGAACTTCAAAAATATTTGTTGGCTCACAGTTGCTGTAGTGGGCCAGGAGCCTGGTCCAGTTAGGAGCCGTGATTGTTTACATGTTTGACACAGAGTCAGAACAGTGGAACAGTACAGGCTATCTGTCATTGCTTATATGTTTATGGTCATTAAGACCACTTAAGCCTAAGTGACACCATACTGGAGTTCTATGACTTATACTACTGTATAACTTCTGTCCCAAAGCCCAATGGTATGATACTCTTTCCTTATTAATGGAGATAAATGCTCTAACCTGCATGAGGAGCATAGAGTGGACTTCACATGAGGGTAAGAGTTCCACCTTTCTTCAGTCTTCTTTGAACTTCCAGTTACTTCTGGCACTTTTGGCTTCCAGCTTTGAAAGGGCAGGTGGAAGAGACCAACCTTACTTCAGGTTGCTGAAGGAAAATACCCTGGAAAGACATGAGAGTAAATGACAATCTCTATCACATCTCTATCACCACCTTGCTACCCTAGAGGCTTCAAGGAGTTTCCTCTTGGATGAGATCTAGAACTCTTTCTTGGTTGAGATATGTTATTTTACCCTCAGTGGGATAGTTCTTTTTTGAAAATTTTTTTGTACTGTCCAGTATATATTTTCTTATTTATACTTTCTCTTACTTCTGTATTGCTAATGATTTGGATTAATAAATTTTCTTTGCTATTCATTGTGGAACTGGTATTTGGTGGAGAAAGAGTTAAGCCTTGGATATGGAGCTTGAGGTTTTCCTCTCACCCAATAATAACAAAGGGATTAAAAGTTAGATTGAACCCAATCATACCTTCTAGAATAATAATATTTAAAGGAGCAGATAGATACATTTTCTAGCCCAGTACCTCCTTTCTCTGAGGAGAGTGTATTGACTTCTGGCCCCAACCTCCTACTTCCCTTACTGGCAGAAATGAAAGTCTCCCTTGGAAAAGAGTGGGCATGAGGGAGACAAGAGGGTAGAAGAGTCTATTCTGCCTCCCTTCAGGTCACATGATGACAGCCCTTACCACAGGTGGGCCTCTCTACACTTGGGTATTGTTACAGCAACACCAAACAATATATTTCAAAAATCACAATGATTATAATCATTTATCTGACTTCATTTTGAAAATAAGGTGTTTCAATGGGGAAATTTTCCAGAAAACTAATGTTTATCTCTTTAAGTTAGTAATATGGTACAGCTTACTTAGACCCACCTTGAGTCTTTTCGTTGTCCTTTATGTCACTTTCAAGTTTAATAGTTTGATTCTTTCTTCTGACCAGCATTCCTCTTTAAATGGCAAAATTTATCTTTAATTTTAACTATCTGTATGGAAATTTTTCTGAATTCTATTACATCTCTCCTTTCCTAAAGATATTTTTTAAGATTCATTAATTTATTTATTTTTAGTTTTCAACATTCACATCCACAAGATTTTGAGTACCAAATTTTCTCCCCATCTTGCCCCTCCCCCAACCCAAAGACAGCTTGCATTCTGAATACCTTTTCCCCTAATCTGCCCTCCTTTCTATCTCCTACCCCTTCTCTTATCCCCTTCCTCTTCTATTTTCCTGTAGGGCAGGATAGATTTCTATACCCCATTGCCTCTATATCTTATTTCCAAGTTGCATGTGAAAACAATTTTTTAACATTTGTTTTTAAAATTTTGGGTTCCAAATTTTCTCCCTTCCTCTCTCCCCACCCACCCTCATTGAGACGGCAAGCAACTCGATATGGGTTATACTTGTGGTAGTCATGCAAAACATTTCCACAGTAGTCATGCTGTGGAAACTAACTATATTTCCCTTTATCCTATCCTGCCGCCTGTTTATTCTATTCTCTTTTGATCCCATCCCTCCTCAGAAGTGTTTGTTTCTGATTACACCCTCCCTCAATCTGCCTGCCACTCACTCTATCATCCCCTTGCTCTCTTATTCCCTTCCCCCCTATTTTCCTGTAAGTAAGATAGCTTTCCATACCCAATTGACTGCATATGTTATTCCCTCCTTAAGCCAAATCTGATGAGAATAAGACTCACTCATTCCCTCTCACCTTCCCCCACTTCCCCTCCACTGTAAAAGCTTTTTTTGGTCTGTTTTATAGAGATAATTTACCCCATTCTACCTCTCCCTTTCTCCTTCTCCCAGTATAATCCTCTCTCACTCCTTCATCTTAAACTCACTCTGTATCTTCTATCTATCTATCTATCTATCTATCTATCTATCTATACATACATATAATTTTTTCCCCTCCAACTACTCTAATACTGAGAAAGGTCTCTTGAGTTATAAATATTATCTTTCCATGTAGGAATGTAAATATTTCAACCTTAGTAAGTCCTTTATGATTTCTCTTTCCTGTTTACCTTTTCATGCTTCTCATGAGTCTTGTTTTTGAAAGTCACATTTTCTATTCTGCTCTGGTCTTTTCATCAAGAATGCTTGAAAGTCCTCTATTTCACTGAATGACAATTTTTCCCCCTGAAGGATTATACTCAGTTTTGCTGGGTAGATGATTCTTGGTTGTAATCCTATCTTCTTTGCCCTCCAGAATATCATATTCCAAGCCCTCTGGTCCCTTAATGTAGAAACTGCTAAATTCTGTATTATATTAATTGTGTTTCCACCATACTTGAATTGTTTCTTTCTGGCTGCTTGCAATTCTCCTTGACCTAGGAATTCTGGAATTTGGCTACAATATTCCTAGAAGTTTTCCTTTGGGGATCTCTTTCAGGAGGTGATGGGTTGATTCTTCCTATTTCTATTTTACCCTCTGGTTCTAAAATATCAGGGCAGCTAGACTCTTTTTTTGATCATGGCTTTCAGATAGTCCAATAATTTTTAAATTCTCTCTCCTGGATCTATTTTCCAGGTCAGTTGTTTTTCCAATGAGAGATTTCACGTTGTCTTTTTTTAAAATTCTTTTGTTTCTGTTTTACAGTGTCTTGACTTCTCATAAAGTCATTAGCTTCCAATTGCTCCATTCTTAATTTTTAAGGAAGTATTTTCTTCGGTGAGCTTTTGGACTTCCTTTTCCATTTGGCAATTCTGTTTTTGAAGGCTTTCTTCCCCTCATTGGCTTTTTTGGACCTCTTTTGCCATTTGGCTTAGGATATTTTTTAAGGTATTATTTTCTTCAGTATTTTTTGGGTCTCCTTTAGCAAGCTATTGACTTGTTTTTCATGATTTTCTTGCATCACTCTCATTTCTCTTCCCAGTTCTTCCCTTACTTCTCTTACTTGCTTCTCAAAATCCTTTTTTGAGCTCTTCCATGGCCTGGGACAGATTCATATTTTTCTTGGAGGCTTTGGATGTAGGAGCTTTGACTTTGTTGTCTTCTTCCAGTTGTATGTTTTGATCTTCTTTGTCACCAAAGAAAGTTTTTATGGTCTGACTTCTTTTTTTTTTTTTGCACAGTTTGCTCTTGATCCCAGCCAATTACTTGAGTTTTAAATGCTATGTTAAAATGGGGGTCTGCTTCCAGTGTGGAAAATGTACTGTCCCAAGCTTTAGGGGTTTTGTGCAGCTGTTTTCAGAGATACTTCTAGGGACCTGTAAGTTTTCAGTTCTACAGTACCTCAGAACCAGCAAAGAGATCCCTGCAATCCCCCTCTGATCAGCCACAATTACTTTCCATTCCACCTATTCATTTTGCTCCCTCTCTTAAAGTCTTTGTTAAGAAAACAGCCTAAACTGATGGAGCATCTTGTAGTACGTCAGCCACTGCCCCAAGGTTGTGCAGGGACTGGGGCTGTGACCTAGCTTCTCTCTCACCGCAGTCACAGGCTTTCCCTAATGATCTTCTAAGTTGTCTTTTCTGTTTGTGGGTTGAGAAGTCTGGAAACCACCACAGCTGCCTGTAATTCAGTCCCCTGAGGCCTGCTTGGGTTTTCTGAGGCCTGGTCTTTGCCTGCATGCTCACACAGAACTGTGCTCCTCTACCAGCCCAGCAAAATAGACCTTTCCAATCAACCATCCAGGTTGTCTTGGGCTAGAAATTTGTTTCACTCTGTCTTTTTGTGGGTTCTGCTGCTCTAGAATTTGTTTAGAGCCATTTTTATGGGTATTTGGAGGGGCTTGAGGGAGAACTCAAGCAAGTCACTGCTTTTACTCTGCCATCTTGCCTCTGCCCCCTCCCCTTAAATAGAAGATATTGACCTCAACCATTCAGTAGAAAGTATGTTCCCTGAAGTCAGGGATTGTGTTGTTTTTGTATTTGTATATGCAGCACCTAAAAAATGACTGCTTTTAGGGATAGCTAGAAATGTTAAGCTGTATGCCTATATATTAAGTGACTCTGAACTTCTGAGTCCTTATTCCTGGTTTTTATAACTTTTTTTTCTACCTCTTACAACCATTAGACTGTCAGATAGTTCTTACTACTTACAAGTCAGGGTGGCAATAAAAGAAAGAACAGTGGCTTTGAAATGGAGAGACCTGAGTTTGAACCTTGCCTTAGGAGTATTAACTGTGTAACCCTGAGCAAATCACTTTACTTCTCAGAACTTCAAATTCCTCATGTCTGAAATGGGAACAACACTATTTGTAGCACCTATCTTAGAGAGTTGTTGTGGGACTTAAATGAAATAATGGGTGGAAAACACTTTCAAAACCTGAAAATAAATAAATTCAAACTAGTACTGTTATTGTTGAGTCATTTCAGTCATGTTGGACTCTTTGTGACCCCATTGAGGTCTTTTTGGCAAAGATACTAGAGTGGTATTCTCTTGTCCAGCTCATTTTACAGATGAGGAACTAAGGAAAACAGGGTTAAGTGATTTGTCTAGGGTCACACACAACAGCTAGTCAGTGTCTGAGGTCAAATTTAAACTCAAAGATGACTCTCCCTGACTCCAGGCATGGTACTCAATCAACTGCACCACCTAACTGCCCCTACCAGCTAATACTACAATCAGATATTTGCACTAAGCAGGCCGGCCTCATATGCTATAATCTACTGATTAAATCTATATCTTGGATAAGCAAATAATTAATGTTTTACAAATGTGTATAAAATAAAAATCCGGGAGTGCTAAGTAACCTCCCCCTAAAAAAATCTTAATTTTCCCTAATAAGCCATTATGTATCTGACAACAAGAATTTATCCATACCTTTTCTTAATTGATGTATGGTTTCAGCTTCTACTGAATGACAAGTTGATATCAGTGAAAAGTGAATGTCTAGAGAGATTACTGTGGAACAATGGAAAGGTATAACAGTCCAGAATCCTGGCAACTAGGGCTCTTGTTCTAACTAGGGATCAAGCCATCTATTGAAAACCAAGCTGGTAGTAATTGTAAAAAATCTACAGTGTGTGTTGAGGTTGTTAAATTTAAGTAAACAAACCAACCAAACAGTCTCTTGACTTGGAGTCTAGATATTCCATATTTGAATTTCAGCTCAACATTTACTGTAAGTGTGACCCTGATTGTGTCTCATTTTATTTTTTTCTAAGCTTCAGTTTTCTTGTCAGCAAAACAGGAGTAATAATACTTGTTCTCCCTACTTCACAGGGGGTATTGCAAGGAAAGTATTTGGAAATCTTAAACAAAGGTGAATTATTATTCCAAACTCCACCCAAGTTTTCTAAAAATAGAGAGGAGAATATATACCCATAGGAGGTTCAAGGCAGAAGAAAAGGTCCCATATTATATAAAAATATTTATAGTAGCTCTTTTTATATTAGCGAGGAATTGAAATAAAAGAGGATAACCAGCAAGTGGGAAATAAATGGAACAAATTGGCATATGAATATGATCAAAAAGTATGGTGCCATAAGAAATTATAAATATAAAGAATTCAGAGAAACTTGAGAAGGCTTGTATGAACTTACAGAGGACCAAATAAGCAGAACAAAGAAACATTATGCTACGACCACAATAAATAAAGTAAAGGAAAACAATATAGAAAACCTTTAGAACTTTGATCAATGCAGTAATCTATCATGACCTTGGAAGAGTAAAGGTGAAAAGTTTCCTGTGTCTTATCAAAGCAGTGGTAGATAATAGGTGGGGAAAATAGGTTTAAGTTGTCAAACATAGCCTATGTGTTGATTTGCTTTGCTTAACTGTATTTTGTTACAAGGTAGGAGGAAGTCATTGAGAAGTGATAACTAAATACCTAAATACAAAGACACATAGTACAATTAAGCAAAACGAGAGGAGGAAAAGGATGTTAACATATCAACATGCATGGGGTTGGAGAGGGGCAGGAGGAGGGAAAGTGAGAGATAGAGTACTAAGTTTGCTCTTATTTTGGGCTGATTCCTGTTTTTTTTTTAATCTCTTTATG